GACGCTGGGGACAACACGACGACCATGGAGACACCCTGGGGACACTGGGGAACCCGGAGACACCATGAGGACCACGGGGACACCATGAGGGACCCGGAGACACCTCGAGGACCTTGGGGACACCATGAGGGACCTGGGGACACCCTGGGGACACTGGGGACCCTGTGGGGAACCCAGAAACACCCTGAGGACCATGGGGACACCCTGGGGACCCCCTGGGGACCCCGTGAGGACGCTGGGGACACCTTGGGGACACTGGGGAACCCGGAGACAGCATGAGGAGCACAGGGACACCATGAAGGACCTGGGGACCACGTGAGGACACTGGGGACCCTGTGGGGACACTGGGAACACCATGAGGACCCTGGGGACAGCATGAGGACACTGAGGAACCCGGAGACACCCTGAGGACCATGGGGACACCCTGGAGACCCCTGGGGACACTGGGGGCCCTGTGGGGACCCTGGGGACACCATGAGGACCACGGGGACACCCTGGGGACACTGGGGAACCCGGAGACACCCTGAGGACCTTGAGGACACCCTGGGGACACTGGGGACACCATGAGGACCTTGGGGACACCCTGGGGACACTGTAAGGACACTGGGGACACCATGAGGACCATGGGGACACCCTGAGGACGCTGGGGACCCTATGGGGACACTGGGGAACCCGAAGACACCCTGAGGACCTTGGGGACACCCTGGAGACCCCCTGAGGACACTGTGGGGATGCTGAGGACCCCATGAGGGACCTGGGGACCCCCTGGGGACACTGTAAGGACACGGGGGACAACATGAGGACCACGGGGACACCATGAGGGACCTGGGGACAACACGACGACCATGGGGACACTCTGGGGACACCAGGAGGACCATGGGGACACCCTGGAGATCCCCTGGGGACCCCCTAGGGACACTGTGAGGACGCTGGGGACACCATGAGGACACTGGGGACACTCTGGGGACACTGGGGAACCCAAAGACAGCATGAGGACCACGGGGACACCATGAGGGACCTGGGGACCACGTGAGGACACTGGGGACACCCTGGGGACACTGGGGACTGTGGGGAACGCGGAGACACCCTGAGGACCTTGGGGAGCCCCTGGGGACACTGGGGATCCCGTGAGGACCCTGGGGACCCCCTGAGGACACTGTGAGGACGCTGGGAACCCCATGAGGACCACGGGGACACCAGTGGGGACACTGCAGGGACCCTGGGGACACCATGGAGAGGATGGGGACACCATGGGGACACTGGGGAACCCAAAGACAGCATGAGGACCACGGGGACACCAGTGGGGACACTGCAGGGACCCTGGGGACACCATGGAGAGGATGGGGACACCATGGGGACACTGGGGAACCCAAAGACAGCATGAGGACCACGGGGACACCAGTGGGGACACTGCAGGGACCCTGGGGACACCATGGAGAGGATGGGGACACCATGGGGACACTGGGGAACCCAAAGACAGCATGAGGACCACGGGGACACCAGTGGGGACACTGCAGGGACCCTGGGGACACCATGGAGAGGATGGGGACACCATGGGGACACTGGGGAACCCAAAGACAGCATGAGGACCACGGGGACACCAGTGGGGACACTGCAGGGACCCTGGGGACACCATGGAGAGGATGGGGACACCATGGGGACACTGGGGAACCCAAAGACAGCATGAGGACCACGGGGACACCAGTGGGGACACTGCAGGGACCCTGGGGACACCATGGAGAGGATGGGGACACCATGGGGACACTGGGGAACCCAAAGACAGCATGAGGACCACGGGGACACCAGTGGGGACACTGCAGGGACCCTGGGGACACCATGGAGAGGATGGGGACACCATGGGGACACTGGGGAACCCAAAGACAGCATGAGGACCACGGGGACACCAGTGGGGACACTGCAGGGACCCTGGGGACACCATGGAGAGGATGGGGACACCATGGGGACACTGGGGAACCCAAAGACAGCATGAGGACCACGGGGACACCAGTGGGGACACTGCAGGGACCCTGGGGACACCATGGAGAGGATGGGGACACCATGGGGACACTGGGGAACCCAAAGACAGCATGAGGACCACGGGGACACCAGTGGGGACACTGCAGGGACCCTGGGGACACCATGGAGAGGATGGGGACACCATGGGGACACTGGGGAACCCAAAGACAGCATGAGGACCACGGGGACACCAGTGGGGACACTGCAGGGACCCTGGGGACACCATGGAGAGGATGGGGACACCATGGGGACACTGGGGAACCCAAAGACAGCATGAGGACCACGGGGACACCAGTGGGGACACTGCAGGGACCCTGGGGACACCATGGAGAGGATGGGGACACCATGGGGACACTGGGGAACCCAAAGACAGCATGAGGACCACGGGGACACCAGTGGGGACACTGCAGGGACCCTGGGGACACCATGGAGAGGATGGGGACACCATGGGGACACTGGGGAACCCAAAGACAGCATGAGGACCACGGGGACACCAGTGGGGACACTGCAGGGACCCTGGGGACACCATGGAGAGGATGGGGACACCATGGGGACACTGGGGAACCCAAAGACAGCATGAGGACCACGGGGACACCAGTGGGGACACTGCAGGGACCCTGGGGACACCATGGAGAGGATGGGGACACCATGGGGACACTGGGGAACCCAAAGACAGCATGAGGACCACGGGGACACCAGTGGGGACACTGCAGGGACCCTGGGGACACCATGGAGAGGATGGGGACACCATGGGGACACTGGGGAACCCAAAGACAGCATGAGGACCACGGGGACACCAGTGGGGACACTGCAGGGACCCTGGGGACACCATGGAGAGGATGGGGACACCATGGGGACACTGGGGAACCCAAAGACAGCATGAGGACCACGGGGACACCAGTGGGGACACTGCAGGGACCCTGGGGACACCATGGAGAGGATGGGGACACCATGGGGACACTGGGGAACCCAAAGACAGCATGAGGACCACGGGGACACCATGAGGGACCTGGGGACCCCTTGAGGACACTGGGGACACTCTGGGGACACTGGGGAACCCAAAGACAGCATGAGGACCACGGGGACACCATGAGGGACCTGGGGACCACGTGAGGACACTGGGGACACCCTGGGGACACTGGGGACTGTGGGGAACGCGGAGACACCCTGAGGACCTTGGGGAGCCCCTGGGGACACTGGGGATCCCGTGAGGACCCTGGGGACCCCCTGAGGACACTGTGAGGACGCTGGGAACACCATGAGGACCATGGGGACACCATGAGGGAACCCGGAGACAGCCTGAGGACCACAGGGACACCACGAGGGACCTGGGGACACCCTGGGGACACCATGAGGGACCTGGGGAGCCCCTGGGGACACTGGGGACCCCCTGGGGACCCCGTGAGGACGCTGGGGACAACACGACGACCATGGGGACACCATGAGGGACCTGGGGAACCCGGAGACACCATGAGGACCACGGGGACACCATGAGGGACCCGGAGACACCTCGAGGACCTTGGGGACACCCTGGAGACCTGCTGGGGACACTGGGGACACCACGAGGGACCTGGGGACCCCCTGGGGACAGTGGGGACCCCCTGGGGACCTCGTGAGGACGCTGGGGACAACACGACGACCATGGGGACACCAGGAGGGACCTGGGGACCCTGTGGGGAACCCGGAGACACCCTGAGGACCACGGGGACACCCTGGAGACCCCCTGGGGACACTGGGGACACCACGAGGGCCCTGGGGACCCCCTGGGGACCTCGTGAGGACGCTGGGGACAACACGACGACCATGGGGACACCAGGAGGGACCTGGGGACCCTGTGGGGAACCCGGAGACACCCTGAGGACCACGGGGACACCCTGGAGACCCCCTGGGGACACTGGGGACACCACGAGGGACCTGGGGACCCTGTGGGGAACCCGGAGACACCCTGAGGACCACGGGGACACCCTGGAGACCCCCTGGGGACACTGGGGACACCACGAGGGACCTGGGGACCCCCTGGGGACAGTGGGGACCCCCTGGGGACCTCGTGAGGACGCTGGGGACAACACGACGACCATGGGGACACCAGGAGGGACCTGGGGACCCTGTGGGGAACCCGGAGACACCCTGAGGACCACGGGGACACCCTGGAGACCCCCTGGGGACACTGGGGACACCCTGAGGACCCCGGAGCCCCCCCTTCCCCCCGAGGCCCGTACCCGAGCTGCGCGGCCACCTGGAAGGGGGTGGTCTGGAGGGCTCGGCCGGAGAGGGGGCGGCCCCCCCCGGGGAGAGCGATGCGGATGGGGGTGCCGGGAGGGACGGGGCCTCCCTCGGTTCCATCCCCGGTCCCGGCCCGCGGCTCCTGCGCCGCCCGCAGCCGCTGGAAGAGCCGGAGCCGCTCGGGGAGGCCGCGGGGGGGCCCGGAGA